TATATATATATATATATATATATATATATTATTCTTTAGCTGTAGGTGATGTAGCAATCAAAATGTGAAGTTTGTGGTAATTCATCTTTTTTCCAATGCAATTTGGTTGATGCAGTGCCTTATTTTAATTACAAATCTTGTCATTGCCTGAGTTGGAGGATGTTGGTGCTAATTTGGTTATCTGCCAATGGGGTTTTTATGATGAAGCAAATCACTTACTAATGCATAGGAACTTACCTGCTGTCAGATGGGTTGGTGGTGTAGAGTTGGAGCTGATAGCAATAGCCACAGGTTCGTGTCGATTAAGCTACTGCATGTTTTCTAGAAGAATATGGATTAAATATTGGGTAGGTTTTACCTATTGGTGTCTTCTTGGTCTAGGTGGGAGAATTGTGCCCAGATTTCAAGAGTTGACGCCAGAAAAGCTAGGAAAGGTGCTTTCTCCCCTTCCTTGTAGTTATGTAAATTAAGGCATTATTTTCTGTTATCGGGTTTTGTTTCTTTATGTTGGGAACAAAATTGCTCATTCTTTCCTGGTGTGCAGGGCATCGCAGCAACAGGCTGCATGAACAAAACCTTATTAATATATATTAGCGAATGTCAACTAATCCTAAAAATGTACAAGTAGCTTATTCGAATAAGGAAGTATCATGTATGTACCCTCATATCTGCACAAAGGGTACATTTTTCCCTCTGAAGGTGAGGCTTAAGTGAAGACAATCACTCTTATCTGTAAGGCTATTGTTCCTGGACTACTGTATTCTCTCCTCTCCCTTCTCCATATGTGAGGATATATGGAATAACCAAATGCAGCTATGTCTTATGCCCACACCTGGTGGATGTCTCAATTTAGNGGACTACTGTATTCTCTCCTCTCCCTTCTCCATATGTGAGGATATATGGAATAACCAAATGCAGCTATGTCTTATGCCCACACCTGGTGGATGTCTCAATTTAGTTGCTAGTATTACCATTTTGTACCTTACTTGTAATATGTCTTCTACATTGCTTTATGCTGAACATAGTTTGTTGTTGTATGTTAGGTTCAGGGTATTGTGCAGATTACTTTGTAACATTTCATATTTATGATGCACTAGAAGCACTAATCTTTTTTTGTTACTCATTCAGGCTGGTTTGGTTCGAGAGAAATCATTTGGTACTANAGCACTAATCTTTTTTTGTTACTCATTCAGGCTGGTTTGGTTCGAGAGAAATCATTTGGTACTACAAAAGATCGGATGATTTATATTGAACACTGTGCAAATTCAAGGGCTGTGACCATATTCATTCATGGTGGTAGGTTGAGTTATCCTTTTTCAGTTTGTCCTACTCCNTACAAAAGATCGGATGATTTATATTGAACACTGTGCAAATTCAAGGGCTGTGACCATCATGGTGGTAGGTTGAGTTATCCTTTTTCAGTTTGTCCTACTCATGTTTTGATGATTTTCCTATGCATTTGTAGTATTCTGTTAAGAGTTTATGCATTTTCTACGTTAAATTGGTTTTACCTTCAATTATTACATCCTTGTTTATTTGTATTGCTTGCTTTTTTACATCCCATATTATTCCTTTATGCTATCAGAAAATTTAACAAACTATGGTTCCGCTGCTGTACTTTGTCATAAGGTGCCCCGCTGGTAGTTTGTTGCCAAACTGTCCTATTAGACTATTTTCATATGCNATGCTATCAGAAAATTTAACAAACTATGGTTCCGCTGCTGTACTTTGTCATAAGGTGTCCCGCTGGTAGTTTGTTGCCAAACTGTCCTATTAGACTATTTTCATATGTGATGCCATACAAATAAAAGAATGGAAGACTTTGCTTGGTCTGATTTCATTTACCACTATCAAGCGATGCCTGTAGACTTTATTTAGTGGCACACTGTATTTGTGGGGGCTATCATTTTGCAAGCTAGTAAACAATTTGATCGTTTCACTTGGGTCCAATCTATTTAATTATCCCTGTGGAAGTTTTGTTTGGATTTTGATTGCGAAGTTGTTTCTGATGCCCACTTCCTTTTTAATTGTATGTTGTTTGGGGATGTTGTAAAACAATTGTAACTTAGATGAATTGGGGGAAATTATGCTTATATGAGGTGGCGTTGTTTTCCCTGCTTGCTTTTTTATTTTAAATTCTAGAATGAGATCGGTTAGAGATTATCTATGTCGTTATGTTTCTTAAAAAAAGGGGGTTAGTAATTGTACTTTTGTTCAATTGCACTGAGATTAGGGTAATGTTTTCACATGCTAATTCATTGTCACACAGTTGAGTTAAAACCATACTTGACATAAATGAAATAGTCATGAAAGATAAAAGTGTAAAGATCTCACAGAAAGGAAGCGTGAAAGAATGGTCTGACCAAATTCAGGCATCTAAATGAATGATATTTGATTGTGCATTAGGTAACAAGATGATGGTAGAGGAGACAAAACGCAGCATCCACGATGCATTGTGTGTGGCTAGGAATCTCATTCGCAACAATTATATAGTGTATGATGGTGGCTCAGCTGAGATTTCTTGCTCAATTGCTGTGGAGGCAGCTGCCGATAAATTTCCGGGTGTTGAGCAGGTATGATGATAATATATTGTCCCTTTTTATACTTTTTCAATATCCTTATTATATTGTCTTTCGTTACCCTTTTTGGTTAATGCATATTGAGCTTTGACTTCTATTCTTTCAATTGCAGTATGCAATCAGGGCATTTGCAGATGCTTTGGATGCTATCCCTATGGCACTAGCTGAGAATAGTGGTCTCCAACCCATCGAAACCCTGTCTGCAGTGAAATCTCATCAAATTAAGGTAATCTGGACATATTGCCACTTTCAGCCTGCTTTGACTTATTGAAGAAGTTCGCTACTGCCATTTCTGTCATATGCGTGAGTACAATCTTGTTAGTATATTATAGTCAGTTTCTCTAAGCATCATTTTGGGTTTGAAATGCAGGAGAATAATCCCTGCCGTGGGATAGACTGCAATAATACTGGCACAAATGACACGCATGAGCAAAATGTTTTTGAAGCACTAATTGGGAAGCAGCAGCAGGTTTTGCTTGCAACCCAAGTTGTTAAAATGATCTTAAAAATTGATGATGTTATCTCCCCTTCCGAGTATTGATCTGTCAGGTAATTTAGCCGAAGTTTTGCTTCACCTAGAACAGTGTCCACATTTTTTCAGATCAAATGGTGACTTGAGTCATTCCATTGGTTCTTCGGTTGAAAACTTCTTTCTACATTTAGATTGGCCTTGCTTCGTTTTATGTTGTGATTATTGATGGATTACTTGGTCATTGTGACCTCTTTTTGTTCATTCTGATGAAAATTCGGAACATTCGGAAACGAGGTCTGGTGCATGGTTCCTCATCGGCTCTTACTAATTCAATTTTTTGTATTTAATCTATTTTTGCATAAAACTAAGTTGAGTTTGTGCTACGCGTGTGGATTGTCCGACTTGTGCTGTCTTCCTCTTTTAACTTGTATATGCACAATATCCTTCATGTGGATTGCATACAACTGCAAGAACTTGACTCTACTTGGGATGGGACCAAAAGTTCCATGACTCTCCTGGTTTGGTAGCGTTGAATACTGCTTACCGGCCTATTCCCCAGCAATGAAGCGATCCCCTGCCCAAGTCTTTTTTTTGCAACTTCCTGCCTATTGAAGCTCATGTGATTTTTACAAAATAAGGTAGTATTTCTAAAGGTGGTAGTTCTAGCTGGAGATAACTGCTATGCTCTGCTTGGCTCTATTGTGCTAGAGAGAGAGAGAGAGAGAGAGAGAGAGAGAGAGAGAGATTGATGGTACTATTGGAGTTAAAATTATCTGTTGGTAATGCTTGAATTTGGATCCTCTCAATTTTGATCATTTACTCTCGCATTCCTTGGTTCTCACTAACTTGATCAAAATTGAAAAAAGATTGCAATTGGGAGGGTCTGTGATCTATAATACACTTGGTAGGAGATGCCAATGGGCCCCTATGTCTGTGAATAATGTCGTTGTTGTACAGTTCTTCATTTCCTGGCCTCGATTTAAGTCAGTGCACCTCCACTTTGTTGACAATATGCATGTTAGTGCGGCCGAATGCCATGCCCATTGTGCAGGGTGTTATTCTGCAATTGCTGTTGGCCCTTGAAATCTGTTGGGGGGAACGTTGGTGCCTGCTATCGTAATTTCTTCATACACGTATTCTCTCTCCCTTTCTTCCTGTGGGAAGAAACCTCCTATAGTTTATGGTGATTTATCGAACTCTTTGGGGGAATGCCGAAGTCTGAAGATATGGCTTAATCGAGATATTTCCTAGCAGGCAAAGTCATCAAGGTGAAAAACATATCAACCGGTTAAGTTATGCTATGATCAGTGATTTGCAATGACCGATATAATCTTTTGAGGTGGATGTTTTTTACCAGTTGAATCTTGATTGTTGGATTAGTATATGTTTTACTTGGTATCCCAAAACATTCGATGTCGTATAAAAGTCAGTAAGAGTATAATTTTTCGCACGTCGTAGGGCAAAATCCCATATCTAAAATGTTTTTGGCTTGAATTTCATGCTGGGTTATTGGTCGGTTAAACTAGTATAACTGTAGGTGAGCCCTTCATATACTATTTTTATAGATAGGGAGGGAGGGAGGGACTGGGTTGTGATAATGAGGATTGGTGTTGATGATTAATGGCAACTTGGGTTGTCGGGGACAGGAGCTTTAAATAATAGCATGTTAGTTGTTAGTTATGGCTGAGGAGGTACTGGTATTCTGGACAGAAGATCTGGGCATTGATGTTTCGTTGCAACTTTTTCAATGATATAGCGGCGAAATCCGCAGTTTTCGTCCACAAATCATGGCCCTATTGCAGGGCAGTTGCTTTTTCCTTTTTTGTTTCATTTATGCCTAGTCTACGGTGTCATGTGAGGGGAACCCCCCTAGTGGGACCCCAAGAGAGAAGGGGTACCAGTGGATGTAACTGTTTTGTCCACCTTCCATCTTAATTGAATTGAATTCTATCAATCTGGCATGGGTTACTTTTTTGCAATTTGGACCGATTATTTGGATTCGAATTTGCTTTATCATATTTGACAGATTTGTAGTGGAATGCACTAATATCTGATTGAATTATATTCCAATTGTAATTGTAGGGAAATATAAATAGGTCTGATAAAATTGAGTGATTATTTGATGAAATTGTGTTGAAATTTATCTTAGACTCTAATTATGTTATTCGAGATGAATTGAATTTTGAACGTAGTCGGATTTGGTTTTTAAAAAGGAAATCTGTTGGATGTTTGAAAGACTTAGACTAGAATTTTTAACTTGGGTTAGATGAGATGAAAATCAAAATTCCATTTGTTGACAGGCCAGAGAGAGAGAGAGAGAGAGAGAGAGAGAGAGAGAGAGAGTACACTCTGCTTGAATTCTACCAATCAAGACTTGAGCTTAGATAATTACATCGGTAGAGGAATACATTTGGCCAACACTTGAGCTCATGTTTCTTCTGATTCCATTAAGATTTCTTACATAATGCTCTTATGGTTTTTCTATATAGAAACAGGCTAAGGTTGAAATCATGAAAAAGAAAACAAAAATGAAAATGATGGTGAAATTACAATACAAACTATGATCTAATTAATGAAGCCAATTGGAGGGTGTTACTGATTTTCCTTCTAATTGTGGTATCCCATCCCTGGCAAAGCCATTGATCAGCAACGTGAACCCTTCTTGCAGCCAAGTGCTCCTGCTCCAATGGTGATTGAGCCCACGAGGGAAGAAGGTCTCGCACCCAAGCTCGAGGCCCTTGCATAACTCGAAGAAGCTCCTGCCCCTGTAGCAGTGAAGAAGGCACCATTCAACATTTGGTCTCCTTCTGATCTCCAGTTCCATTTCTTCCATTCAGATTCTGGTGCAACCTCATGTTTGGTAACCTGAAACCCATTATTACTTTCAAGTCAGTTCATTTAGGGCACTTGTTGGCAACTTTTTTCACAGTGATAGCTTTGCTGAATCGAGTTTTGTTTAGTGGTGGAAATCTGGTGCACTAGGTTGTTCTTTCTTAGTATAGCATTTGCATTAAGTAAGTAACAAATAAATACTCTGTACTCATGGATGGAGCTCTCTGAGTGTTAATTATGGTTCTCACCTCTTTATTGAATCTGTCATTGGGGGCCAAAAATCTGTTGCCTTGGCTGTTGATAGTAGGAGCAGCACTGCCACCAAGTGCATACATTTCCCAATGGGTATAGTCATTATTCACCACATGAAAATATCCATGTCTACACCTGTAAATATGGAGGAAAATTAGTGCCCTTTTGTAATTAATGTTTTTACAAATATGGGTTATGCAAAAATTACAAGAAATATATGCAGTTTATGATATTTATGATGTGACCCCTCTTATGTATAGTTGATTTACCTTGGCATCCTTTGCACAAGCCCTTCTCCAAAATGGTTGAAGGCTATGGTGACTTGCATGTTCTTGTCCTGTGTGTAAGTATCACTGTGACCAAGAAGCATGACCTTATTATGGTGTGTCATATAATTGTTTGAGATGGTTATGGCTGTTGATCCATGAATGGCATCAATAAGGCCATCATTGCAATTAGATAAAGAGCAGTGATCCACCCAAACATGGCTTCCTCCAAAAATCGACACCCCATCGCCGTCCGATATAGTTCTCCAGCCATAATGGTTAGGTGAGTCTCTCACATTTGCATTCCCTCCTTGCTTGCAGTCATGGATATTTAGACCATGAATGATGATGTTGGNATAGTTCTCCAGCCATAATGGTTAGGTGAGTCTCTCACATTTGCATTCCCTCCTTGCTTGCAGTCATGGATATTTAGACCATGAATGATGATGTTGGTCACATATTGTATCGTAATGCATGGTCCACCAGCAATGTGGACACTTGCACCTCGACCGTCGATTGTTTTGAAGGAATTCATCATGAGTTCTTCCTTCAATTTGATCACCATGTCGCGTTGAAAAATGATCCATAGAGGTTCATCTTGGATAACACCATATCTTAGAGTTCCTGGTTTCGGGTTAACGGCATCATCGCCCGAGTCTGTGACCACGTATATTTGACCATCTCTTCCACCTACGGCATGCTTGCCAAACCCAATCGCGCAATCGGCTAGGCTTTGCCGGTTCTTCTCCCAATTGGGGTCGCACCTCCAGCAATCGTCAATAGGGTTGCCGNCGTCATCGCCCGAGTCTGTGACCACGTATATTTGACCATCTCTTCCACCTACGGCATGCTTGCCAAACCCAATAGCGCAATCGGCTAGGCTTTGCCGGTTCTTCTCCCAATTGGGGTCGCACCTCCAGCAATCGTCAATAGGGTTGCCGGTTCCACAAGAGAGAAAGCCCAAACTCCTCCTAGATGCATTATTGATCCTCCTGCATTATGTACCCAAACAAAAATGTGACAAATTGTTAGACAAATGGATGAAAGTAAATACTGAATTGTTGGTAATATGAATCAGCGGAAAATGTGGCATCATACTCGTTCACTTCTTGTACTACTAGCTCAGGGTCTGGAACTGGTGAAGAAAATGTGAATCTTGGAGCTAGGAGAGGCAAGAGGAATAGAAGAAAAACATTCATTTCCATTTTTCTTCCTCCCACTGTCGATCGAGAGAGAGAGAGAGAGAGAGAGAGAGAATGTGTGTAGAATTTTGAAGCAGATTAAGTGTATATAAAGGGGAGAGGAAGGGGAGGGGCCCTGATTAAACAAAACATTTGGGCCCACCTGCTTCATGATTTGTAGTTCTACATCTTCCCAATNAATACTGAATTGTTGGTAATATGAATAAGCGGAAAATGTGGCATCATACTTGTTCACTTCTTGTACTACTAGCTCAGGGTCTTGAACTGGTGAAGAAAATGTGAAGCTTGGAGCTAGAAGAGGCAAGAGGAATAGAAGAAAAACATTCATTTCCATTTTTCTTCCTCCCACTGTCGAGAGAGAGAGAGAGAATGTGTGTAGAATTTTGAAGCAGATTAAGTATATATAAAGGGGAGAGGAGGGGGAGGGGCCCTGATAAAACAAAACATTTGGGCCCACCTGCTTCATGATTTGTAGTTCTACATCTTCCCAATGTAGTTGTTTGAACATTGAACTAGTACGCAGGGTTTAGAAAATTGTTATTAATAATCTTGTTCATTTACTAAATTGGATGTATGTCTCAATATATAAATAGGAGTATACAAAATATTGTCCTGGCCTATAGAACATGAAAACTGAGTAGATTTGCAAATGCAATGACTTATCAGTATTTTTCCCCATTGATGAAGTTCCAAAAAGAGAGTGGTTTTGAACTTATACTGATCGGCTATATGCCGCATATNTGTGTCTCAATATATAAATAG